TCCATGCTAGTGTTCATATGCACCAATTCATGAATATACATAACAACCTGTGAGCATACTGTATTCATAAGCCCTGTTTTATAGAATAGGAAGTTGAATTACAGATGGTCACAGAGATAATCAGTGGTATAGGATCCAAAGGGAAGGCCTATGACCTAAGAGCTTTATGCTTAACCAATGTGCTTTATATTCTGGATTATGGGGTAGATATAAAGGGACACATGATTACAAATTGGTATCATTAAATATATTACAACATGTAAACCATGTCTCCAGAAAAAAAAAAAAAACAGCCCTAATTTTCAGTGTTTGTTCATTTCCATGGTGTAAATATTCCCACTATGGTTCATTTCAATCTGCCAGTGGTTTAGTACCCAGCCTCTACCCACTGCTGCAAATCATTGACTAAATATGTAATAGGATGTGGCCTGATGTATGTTTAAGAGACTTGTATCCTGGCTCTAGGACCTTTTTGCTAACATGCTCAATATTTTTGAGCTTCAATTTCCTCCCTCACAACAAAACTTGAGAGAATAAATTGCCTTACTTTTTCCCCCCTCAAAGTATTAGGAAGGGTAAAATGAGACTTGTAGTTTTGAAAGTATAGCATGCTTTATTAAACTAGAGGCCTGGTGCATGAAAATTCGTGCACTGGAGGGGTCCCTCAGCCAGGCCTGCCCCCTCTCACAGTCCAGGAGCCCTCAGGGGGTGTCCTACTGATGGCTTAGGGGTGACCAGCCGATCAGGGGAAGGCACTGCCCCCATCACGCCTCTCCTGCTGCTACTGCTGGCCGCCGTGGCTGCCTGAGCCTTGGCCCTCACAACCACCACGGCTTGCCGGAGCCTCAGGCAGCTGCTGCGGCTTTGTCCGGAAGGATGTCCAGAAAACGTCCACCCTAATTAGCATATTACCCTTTTATTAGTATAGATGTGAAGATGGGGAATCTGCTGGTCACTGAAATTATCACTTTTTGAGAAGAAACATTACATTTCAAGTTTACTGAAATTCAGTAAACACAGTCATCTATTTCCTTTCTCAGCTCTTTATCTTGTCTAAGCTCTTCTTGAACTAATTTTCTTTTCGTAATAGTTGGAACAGGACAACTAAAGTCACTTTGCAATTTCACTTTGGAAGAATTTTTATTTTCCTATGGCAAAGTTTTTAAAGCTAGGATGTTTAATACAATTAGCTTCCTTTGCAATACTATTTAATAGGAACACTTCCTTTGTATTGCATTTGCATATAAAGGCATTATTGAGAAGTGACCCAACTTCACAAGACTGCCAGAAAATAAATGATAAAAAAGAAAAAGAAAAAGAAAAACAAAGATGTGTAGTATAAAATGGAGATTTCAGAGGGCTTAGGAACAGAATTTGTTTTCCTTGTCTCTGCTATAGAGGGCAACTTTTTAGCAAAGGCACAGAGAGCCACCACTTCACTGGCCTCAGTCTCCAAAATGCAAAGAATGTCTCATTTTTCTAAAAAATATCTAAAATTATACGAAATTGATTAGCCATTAAATACATATAGAGTTTTCACTGACTTTCAAAAGCACGTCCCTCATTTTTTTCATATGCATGCCCTTTTAAAATTATTTGCTACATAGGCTTTAAGTCAACATTTATAGTTGAGAATTAGCATTTCTTCATCACTGGGAAGCATGTTATTTCAGTATAGTCTACAGTGCAAGAAAAGCTTGATGTTCTCATGTTGGGAGCTTGGGTATCTCTGTGCTTTCTCCTCCAACAGGAAGACGCCCTTTAGCATTCCCCCATTCCTTTCACAAATACTGAAGACGTGCCACCTGCCAGGCCGTCAAGAGAAATGTGGTATGCCCTTGCCCTGGAAGAGCCCACAGGTCCACTGAGGAGGACACTAGGGAAACACAAGGTCACAACACAAGGTGGTCAGTGCTGTAAGAGAGCAAGAAACCAGAATCTGTGGGCGGGCAGGACTACCTTGCTGGCTACACTGTCCCCAATTGCAGAGGACATCTGGGTGTATCACAACTATATAGATTTTCTCTATTTTTTTAAAACATGTTTTTATTGATTTCAGAGAGAGGGAGAGAGAGATAGAAACATCAATGATGAAAGAGAATCATTGATTGGCTGCTTCCTGCACACCCACTACTGGGGATCAAGCTCACAACCCAGGCATGTGCCCTGACTGGGAATTGAATAGTGACCTCGTGGTTCATGGGTCGAGGTTCAACCACTGAGCAACACTGGCTGGACTAGATTTTCTCTATTAAAAAATCATTTCCTTTTTATTGATTTGTACGGAATCATAACAGTACAGATAGATACATTTAAGGACTTATTCTTATTTTTTTATTCTTGAGTTCAACAAAAATACATACAGTATTTTTGAATTTCTAACCATAAATTCACATGTGCAAAAGGAATATTGCATATTTTGTCATTAGTTGTCCATCCTGGGTACTAGAATTAATTACCTGGGGGTGCTTTTTAAAAATCCTCTCCTGAGAATATGTTTTTATTAATTTTAGAGAGAAAGGAAGGGAGAGAGGGAGAAACATGTGCCTCTCGAATGTTGCTCAACCAGGGATCTAACTCGAAACCTGGGTATGTACCCTGACCAGGACAATGCTCCAACCAATTGAGCCATACCAGCCAGGCATATATATATATATATAATTTTAAGATCTCCTCCTCCTCCTTCCTTTCCTCCTCCTCTTCCTCCTCCTCCTTCTGTTAATTTTCACCCAAGGATATTTTTTCCATTGATTTTTTTTTTAGAGAGAATGAAAAGGAGAGAGGGAGGAGAGAGAGAAATATTGATGTGAGAGAGATACATCAGTTGGCTGCTTCCTGCACCCAACTTGACTGGGGCCAGGGATCGAACCTTCAACCCTTCCATATGAGGGCTGACACTCTAACCACTGGCAGCACTTTAAAAATTGAGTTTAAAGAGAGGAAGGAAGAGAGACACACAGAGAGAGAGACATTGATGAGATAGAACTGGAAACTTAGGTATGTGCTCTGACTGGGAATCGAACCCACCACCTTTTGTTGTTTGGGCCAACGATCCAGCAAATTGAGCCACACTGGCCAGGGCTTTTAAAAAATACCAATGTTTGGGCCACTTTTTCCTTGGTGGGCAAGACCTGAGAAAATTCACAATCAAAGGTGGGATGTACCACCACATTTGTGGGACATGCTGGCTTTAGGGCAGTGATGGCGAACCTTTTGAGCTCGGCGTGCCAGCATTTTAAAAAACCCTAACTTAACTCTGGTGCCATGTCACATATAGAAATTTTTTGATATTTGCAACCATAGTAAAACAAAGACTTGTATTTTTGATATTTATTTTATATATTTAAATGCTATTTAACAAAGAAAAATGAACCCAAAAAATGAATTTGTGTGTCACCTCTGACACGCGTGTCATAGGTTCGCCATCACTGCTTTAGGGGGTTCTAGGCCAAGCCTTACCTACAACACTGGGAGTTCGGCACCATGAGCCCAGACCACCTGCCATATGATGAAGGAGAGGAGCTCCCCTAAAAGGTCCCCTTGAACTGATTTCCCTCAGAAATGATTTCCCACCTGGAAAGTTGGTGCTTGAAATTCCCCAATTAGATAGCTGTGCCTTTTTGGGAAGCTTTGTTTTCTTAAAAAATAAAAGTACTTCTGAGGAATCACACTGTTTTCTAAAGAAATCCAAAGCACTAATTTGAAAAGATATATGCACACCTATGTTCAGTGCAGCATTAATTACAATAGCCAAGATACAGAAACAACTTAAGTGTCCATCCACAGACGAATGGCTAAAGAAGATGTGGTACGTATATACAAGTGGAATATTACTTGGTCATAAAAAAGAATGAAAGATTACCATTGGTGACAACATGGATGGACCTAGAGGCTATTATGCAAAGTGAAAATAAGCCAGACAGAGAGAGACAAATACCATATGTGGAATCTAAAGGACAAAATAAACGAACAAACAAAATTGAAACAGACTCATAGACATAGAAAACAGACTGATGGTTGCTAGAGAGGAGAGGGTTTGGGGACTGTGTGAAAACAGTGAAGAGATTAAGAAGTATAAATTGGCAGTTACAAAATAAGCATGCAGATGTAAAGTACCGCATCGGGAATATAGTCAGTAATATTGTAATAACTATGTGTGGTGCCAGGGTGGGCACTAGACTTCCCGGGATGTCACTTTGTAAGTGATCTAAATGTCTAACCTTTATACTGTACATATGAAGCTAATGTAATATTGAATGTAAACTGTAATAAAAAAATTAGTTATTGGTTATTTGTATCATTTGGGACTCATTTCCTCACAGCTGGCTTTGAAAGGCGGATTTATGAGCCTTGGGTTCTCTAAGGAGAGCGGGAGAAGGTGTAGAAGAGCAGCCTATGAGGGGTCCTCTCCAGGGACCATCCCTCAGCCAGGGCCTAAGCTCACTCCTGAAGCCCACCGCCTCCAAGTAGATCAGTCCTTTCTTTAAATGTCACTTAACACTCACAGTACTTCTATCATTCTGCAAACGATGCTCTTTCATCTAGTTCTGACCTCTCTGTTTGCCATCTACAAACTTCTTCTTTGGAGCAGGATTCATGTCAAGAGAACCAAATAAGAAGCAAACAGAAAAATTCATAAAATCCATAAAGCACAAATGGGAAAAAGCATCCTGAATCCACAGAGTGACGGGCCTAGGTCAATGTGGTCATCCTCTGTATGCTAGTCATACAATTCATGCCGTCCAGGCTCAGATCATAAGCTCCTGCCCGTGGATGGCTCTGTGGAGCACTTGGCGCGTTCTGAGTGCCCTGTACGTGTGGAGGATGTGAGCCTGCCTTCAGAGGATGTCTCCTAGGAGGAAGGTGCTATGCAAATTCTGGTATTGTTATTCTTTTAGCACAAATTTATAATTGACTTTCCGTTAAATATTGCAGCAAGTTAAATTAATTCCGTATGATTACAGTCATTAAACAAGTGCCTGGTAATGACTGCCTTCTTATTTTAGCATTCCTCAACTCACTGGGGTAAAACCATCTAAGGCTTTGGCTCCATTGTTAGATTAATTGGGATGCACAACCTACGTTTTGCAACAGAGCATGCACACTGCGTTAGAGCAACCAGACCATGATCGAAGGTTACTTCTGGACTAATTTACCTTTCAGTTTTTTCCTATTGCTCTTGCCATTCCATTAGGGACAATTTACCAGTTCATTACAGCATGCTGGTAGCTTAGGGCAATTCCTACCTGTTAAAAAAAGAAGTGTGCTTTTAAAACAACAACATGGACAGGCATTCATTCTTCCCTGATTCTTCTTCTGACACTGAAACTAACCCAAAACGATAGGGACTGTGATGATTTTAACCTGTTTTCCCATTGGTGTGGCCACCCCCAGAATTACCTGCCATCTTAGCAAGCAGGACAGAAATAGTTAAGTCCTGAGGCTGTGAGTTAAACACTCTGCCTGAGAGAGAAGCCGTGGAAGATGTCCCAGCCAGGAGCGCAGAATCGCTGCCAGGTGTGGATGGAGAGAGGCTGCCCTCCTGAAGCCACGCTTCACAATCCAGGTCATCTGTCTGCTGCCACCTTAGCCACTGGCCTGATTCTGTGGCGTACACTGCAGGGGAACACCCTGCCAGTCAGCTGACTGCCGTGTCAGAGCTGCTGCTGTCTGCAGTATCTCAACTGCCAGAGCTCCGGTCCTGCAGTTTCCTGGTCGCAATGCGACAGAGCCAAGGCAGACAGCGAGGCACAAAGCGCCAGAGTTTTAAAGTGTTCTTTTCCTGCTACCGCTTAGCATTTCTTACATGAGGAGTATTTACCTTTGCGTAGCCAGCAGCAGAGAGGCAGTCTGCATGCACGCGGCGGCTTCTAACTTGGCAGCGTGAATTGTCAGCAGAGCAGGTACTGCTCGGAGCCTTGTAGCCAAGCTGCCTGGCGGAGCGCGGCTGGTTTCCCCACCACCGGTGGGGATGGTTTGGGGGCTCCTTATGCCAGGCCACCAGACCTGCAGGAATAAAGCTAGGACGAAGGAGACGCTGCTTGCCCTCTGCTTGCCACGGTGGGTCTGGCCGGGGCCTGTGCGGGCAACTCCACGGAAGTGATGCTCGCTGTGCGACCCTCCCAGCTCACAGTGAAGGCTGGTCCGGGAGCTGGCGCAGATCCCCAGTCCTCAGTTAGAACACGGTGTCAAGGCGAAGCCAGGCTCACTGACCTAAGTCACTCCCGGTCCTGTCTGGATGCGGGGACAGCTGTCGACTAGCAGTGACCCAACCAGCCATCAAGTGGACAATGCCTGTGATGCAGCCTGGGAGCAGGTGGAGCCTGGGAGAATGCAGTCTAATTTCGGTCATCCGATGGCTTCTTCTGATTTTCCTAACTAATCGTGCTCGCTAAGTATACAGTTGTCTGGATTAGGCTGCCTTCCGTGCAGGCTTCATCTGCTCTGGCTGCGAATCAGGGTGCCAGGCAAGCCTGCTTTAGTCCTGGCTCCTGTCTGCGTGATGCTCGCTATGCACTAGGATGGGTCACACTGACAACAAAGAAGGAAGCAGAAAGCATCACTTTATCTTCTCTTGTGGTGTTAGCGGAACCTAACTCTTCTTCGTAGTGCTGCGTGTGTGTGTGTGTGTGTGTGTGTGTGTGTGTGTGTGTGTGTGTTTTAATTCATCTGATCGAACAGCCTCACAGATATCATCATGGATGTGGTTTTAATGATTTGGGAAAAAAAGACAGCCTGTGGAGACAGCGATTCGAGACTGCAGCACATTTAGGTTATTGCCAATTCGAGCTACTTTGGTTTGTGAAGCTGAGCCCTCAGGGACGAGCTGGGTAACTGAGAAGGAGATGGTAGATAAAGAAATAAAAATGACAAGCGTAATGGAGGCTCTGTGAAGGGACTGTCAGAGCATCGGTTCATGGATGGCAATTTCGCCAGGCTGAGACTGAATAATTCATAGAGTGAAATTACCCTGCTTTCACCTTCCCAGCCAAACCGGCATGATCCGAATCTCTAATAAATTTTCAAGATAAAGTAAAATGCCAATTTGAAACTGAAGAGCTTTTAAAGCCAGATGCTGCATCCCTGCATCTTTCGGTATCTTTCACAATTATCCTGTGAGAACTGCACTTCATCACGAAGCATCATTACCAGGGAGAATGACTGTGATTATAATAGCAACAATAGGATACCATCAAATGATCTCTAATTTACCTAATTTGCTAAGACTGGCTGTGTGATGTTAGCGCCCATTGTCTGTCACCACGCCTAGCCCCCCCTGGATCTTTCTCGCACCCGAACAACAGTGCGGCAGCGTGTGTGATACCTTCCGTCTGAAAGCCCAGCTAAGAACGTTCTCCTAGGTTACTGTGTCTCTTTCGTTTGGTCTGCATTTTTTGCATTCTTGTGTGTTTGATTTTTCCCCAAAGACTGTACCCCAAATGCCTGTTTGGGGAAATGGTGAGCCTGTCGTGGGTTTGGGGTTGATTCGTTTATAACGAGAGCGAATCCTCTTGCTAATTTATACACCCTCTTTATTGTAATGTATACAAGTATGTGTTTACCGGAAGGGAGGGAGATTCTGTTCTGAGAGGGTAGCTTTAAAATGCAGCTAAGGTGCAAGTGGTGTCCTTGTGTCTTTTTTGAAACCCCTGGTGTGATGTGTTACAAACTTCTCTGATGGCAACGTCACATCCAGTAATAGCTCTCCTGCAGCCTTTATTAAAAGCGTGTATGTTTGTTCGACTGAGTGATTAAACGATGCTTTTTGGCTGTTTGTGTCTGATTGCTCTCTAGCAGAAGTCGAACCTAAACAGAACTTCTCTGACAGGCTGCACACTTCATCTCAGGGCAGTTCTGCTGTCCTGAGAAAGAGGCATGGTTCATAGAGCCTCGCTGGGAACAGACTGTAAGCATTTAATGGGCACGGTGACTTCTGGAATTACCTTCAGTAGCATGAAGACAGTCTGTGGGTTCCCACTAGTCAAGTGATTGAAGTTTGAATATCTCAGGTGGGATTTCTGAGAGATGAAGATCCTTGGGGAGAAGGTAGGTCTGAAACATACCTGTCTCATATGGAGAGTTTTTTGCTTGGGACTCTGAGCTCTGATAGGCTCCTTAATCTGTTATCTGGCTTTCTCCCTTCCTGCATCCCCACAGATGCTTTTGTCAGAGGAGGTAAGTTGTACTTCTAATCATTTGTATAGCTGATTGTGCTTCATTGTCTTGTTTCAAGGGGTATAAGCTTTCTGTGCTATATTTTCTGTCCGCTCACTTATATTCGCACTGCCCTCAGGAAAACGAACAACTTTTCCCCCTCCTGTGTTTTCTAAATACAAATGAAAATGTGGCATTTTAAAAAGTGTTTTAACTATAGTATTTGTTCTCTTTATTGAAATACATTCAAGGTCTTAATGTTTTTCAAAGGAAATGGGAAAACAGTTTTACTTAGTAAATAGTTTGTTTAAAAATAGTAGGCAATTCGCTAAATACCAATAATGTTACCATGTTGTTTTCTTTAGATAGCTCACATTTCTAATAACTGAAACTGTTATTCTTATCTTTCCAGAAAGAGGCTTGGCTGTTAGTGACAAAGGGCTTTTCACAAGCCCACTGTCTATGTGCCAAAAATGTTTTCTTTTTTTCTTAGAAAAAACAACATAGCCTGGATATTCTGCAAAGGGTTTTTATAATTCTGGCATTTTAAATCTCTTCAGTAGTTAAAGTTTGAGCAGGGTAATTAATCACTGTGTGAGCAAGCTGTTTTACATGTTTGATAGTTAAGTAATAATGGCATTCTAAAATTATCTAAGAATAATTGGAAATCAGATGTTTGTTACTTTTTGGGGACTCAGAAACTAATTGCATTTACTTGATAACAGCAAATTTAAAGCTGATAGTTCTTATGATTCAAGCATTTATACTTTCCATTTTTGGAAAATAAGGGGTTTGTTTTATTTCTTTAGAATGTAAGTGCCACTACCACTTACCATGTGTTAGTACTTGCTAATATTGAAATTCACTTGTTTTACCATAAAAAAGAAAAAATTTTATCATATAGAGCTGCTAACTTAAACATTTTAAGCTCCAATAGTTCCCTGAAACTAAATATACTTTTCTTTTCAAACTCTAAGTAATTGAATGTAAATGAACATAGTATGTTTAAATAAGTTCATTAGATAACTTTTAATCTATTAACAACTATTTCTACTATTTATGGACATATCTTACTTATAATGCTCTAGATAACCATAGGTGCAAAAATCTACAAAGAGCACTGCAGTTGCAGGTAATTTTGAAAAATAACCAACTGTGAAAGTATACTATTAGGGGTTAATTTGGATGGATCTCAGACAATCATGGCTTCACAGTATTCTGTAGCTCATGATGTTTTGTTTGAGGTTCTTTTGGGAGGGGTGGGGTGGGTATGAAAGAGATAGGTAAAAATTATCTCCTCCTTCCTTATTCCAAACGCCCAATCACTGCAAAGCACCAATGCAGCTATGAGGAGTGATTTAGAATTAAAATGCCCATAACCACACTCATTGGATCCACAAGAACGCCTCTCGCTTTAAGATAGAATGTGTACACTTGATCATTTAATAATTGCAGTTTTTTCTGGACATTAGTGTATTTTAGATATCATCTCATTATTAAGGTCCAGCTTAGAGAAAAGAACTTCTTGAGAGAGTCTCTCTCTCTCTCTCTCTCTCTCTCTCTCTCTCTCTATATATATATATATATATATATATACATATACATATACACTTAATATTTGTTAACTAGTTAACAAATCCTGTGGTGAATAGATGTATTTCACATAGTCAACTGGAATATTCATAGTTGATATGGGATTTTTCTAATTAGCATATGTTACAAGACCAATGGCATATAGTATATTTCCCCTAAGTTTCAAGTATGGAGTAACGAAACATGCCTTTATGAAGTATCAATATTTGTGCTATACTAGACTGTCAAAGAGAAAAAGGAAGGTGAGACAAAAGAAATGGGTAAAAATAAAAGAAAGCAATCTCACTATTCAGTGAGCTTTTTTTAAATGGCATGATCAAAACGGTTGAAAATCTTGTGTCTGTATACTGTCTTTTTAAAGAGCTTCCTTTCTCCCGTAAGAAAATCTTTCAATAGTTTCTTATGAAAATTTACAAACATGCAGAAAAAATGAAAAGTTGTGAATACCCATATAAAAATAACTGAGACCCTAGAAGTAACATTTTACTCTCCTTGTTTGATCATATATACCATATCCAACTATCTACCCCTCTGTTCCTCCACTTAAAAAAATATTTTATTGCTTTTAAATTGATTTCAGAGAGAGGAAGGGAGAGGGAGAGAGAGAGAGACATCAATGATGAGAGAGATCATTGATTGGCTGCCTCCTGCTCACACACCCCCAATGGGGATCGAGCCAGTACCCGGGCACGTGTCCTGACCAGAAATTGAACCATGACCTCCTCGTCCATAGGTCGATGCCACCCCAGCCAGGCTCTGTTCCTCCATTAATACATTGTAATATTTTGATGCATTTCACATTAGTACACTTTAGTTCAAGATATTAGTATACTTTAGTACAAGTCATTCTACAACATTACCTCTAAGGCTATGCCTGCTAAAGTATTTAAATTCAATATTTGTTTATTTACAGTGCTTCCCTTTAAGTAAAATTTAATATATGATAAAAACAGAATTTTGAAAAACAGTAGGCATTCACTATTTCTTTAACATGAGTTGCTGAATGCAAACTCCCACAATCCTAAGTTCTAATTTGGAAGGTACAATTTCTGTGTTTATGGTGGAGGGATATGGACCCTTCCCAGCCTCAATCCCCATCACTCAGGTAAGCCTTCAGACGGAGCAGGGGACCACTGGTAACTCAGCACCAGTACTGGGACGGAAGAGGTGTCTGGGCATACATCATTAATTCCGAGGTCTCTTCCCATTCTTAGAACCAGTTTTACTTTCTTTCTCCTGCGGGCCCATGAAAAGTAACACATTTGCTTTTTCACAATCACCAACTATTTTTCTACTTGGGTTCTTCTCTTCCTCTTCCCTTTCCTCCCCTACTTTGCCCAATCAGCCTTCTCTTTTCTACTTCCATCAGACTCCTAATTTTTTTCTCAGAACAAGAGAACAAATCTCTTCATTTTTCAAATCATTCTACAAGATTCAATTTCAGGGAAATGGTTATGGAAAGCAAAGATGGGGACTTAAAGAATCATAAGAACTCTTCAAGACCTAAGTTTTTCTTGGTCTTAACAAAAAACGAGTTAAGAATTGCCCTCTCACAACCTCTTCTTGAATCCATCTCTTGGATCCAGTCTTGTGGATGTGATTTATCCATTACTTTCTTAACTGAACCCTAGACCAAGCTCCTCTAAGATTTTTATTGGGATAGTCTTAGGAATGAGGACATTCTCCATGCTTCCAAAATCTGCTAAGTTTGGTAGACTATAGCATCCAGCCATCAGCTCTGGTCCATTGCACTTTCACCCAGTAGCAGCACAAGGCCTGCCTTTTAAGTTATACCCCTGACCCTGGCCCTGGCCCTCACCCTGGTTAAGGAAATTCTCAAAGCTTTCTTTCCTCAGGCTTTGGTCCAAGTGTATATGGCAATTGCTTTCTAGGTGGCATCTCCCTCAGGCCATCTCTCTTCATTCAGTTCAGCATGCCTAAAGCTTTCATCAGATACTAGGTAAATATATCATTACGTAGTTATGGCTGAGTCTATCTTTGGCTGGAATTCTGCCAACTTGCCTATTTTTATAAAGCACTAATTGGTTATAACAGACTGGTTAAGATTTAGGTTCTGTAGAAAGACTAACCATTCAACCAATGCATTATTCCAGGCCAAGTTACTGAACCATTTGAAGCTTCACTTCTTCAAGACTTTCTGTATTACATTACATTTGTATATGTTATATAATAGGTAAGTTGTATATACATAAAATGTATGTTATATAACATATATAATTATATTACATTTTATTCAGTATATATAATGTATTTGGCACAGTGCCTGAACCTACTTGGTACTCATTGTATGTTAGTGTCATTACTATCATCATCATCATCAGCAGCAGCAGCAGCATATGTATTAACAGAAGGTGCCATTATCATAGAATTCAACTGGCACTCAGTTGGAATCATCTAACAGATTCTAGCAGACTGACCTCTCTTCCTATGTCCAAATTTGCTTATCTTGATGGACGTCCCATTAAAGTCCTCCCCCCCCCACACACACTTTTTCAAAATACCTTTTTATTGATTTCAGAGAGGGAGAGGGAGAAAGAGAGATAGAAACATCAATGATGAGAGAGAATCATTGATTGACTGCTTCTTGCATGCCCCCTACAGGGAATTGAGCCTGCAACCCAGGCATGTGCTCTGACTGGGAATTGAACCGTGACTTTTTGGTTCATGGGTCAACACTCAACCACTGAGCCACACCGGCCCGACATGTTCCCCATTTTTAAGGTCTAAAAAGCCCTCAGCTTTTAGCTCCTGGTGGAGCAGAAATGACCACTAGAACTCAGTGAATGATTAAGCTCTTCTATGTGAGTGCTCCAGGGTTTCCTTCAGTGTCCCCATGACACTACCCTCCTTCTTTCAGAATTCTATTACTATAAAATCAATAGTGGAATATGTACAAGTGTAAGTTTAATTTAATTTTAACAAAAGGGGAGAAAAGAGGGATTTTCCCTTTAGGAGGGCTAAAGACCAGCTTCACTGAAGATTAATTCCTACCACATCATCTCCTAACCCTTTCTATCCCACAAAGCATAGCAGGTGACTGAGGATCTACCAGAGAAATACAGTTTTCAGCAAGAGAGGCTCTGCGCTGGTCCCCTTCCCCCTTCTTGAGAGCTGCATTTCAGAGGACCCTGCTTTGCCCCTTCATTGTCATTCCCTGTCCCAGCCCTCCCAATGGCACAAGAAGTCAATGGGTAGAGGAGACATGTTCACCCAGAGCCTGTGCCTCACCTTGTTCCTAGAACATCCCGACTCTGGTGTCCTCTATGCCCGCACACACATCCCTGCACCTCCAACCCGCATGGCTGAGGGTGAATAGTGCTGCCAGTTGCATGCACTCCTAGACCTCAGAGGTGAACAGAGGAGGCTGCTGGGGAGAAGCCTCAGGTGGGCTGGAGTATCCACGTGTGTGGGAGAAGCTGTGTCTAATGCAAGAAAGAGCTGGGAGTGGGCAGAGGAGAGAGTCAGGCCAGAGGCAACTGTCCACACTGCGCCACATTCAGGCACAGAACTCCAGAGCAGGGGAGAACCCTAAGTTCAATCCTGGTCTTAGGAAGGTGTATTTGACAAGGAAAGAGAGTAGAATTTATTTTAGTTAACACCATGTTGGCTTGATTTGTACCTTTTAAATATTTAGAAATATGGTATTGGAGGCCTCCACATGTACTTTGCCCAGGCCCTGCAATGGCTGGGTAAGGCCTGCAACTGAGCTAGAGTTTGTGAAGGTCTCAGTTCTCCAAAAACCTGATTGGTTGGTCATTGTTATATATTAGTGGCCAAGTAAATCTTTTCCATTAGTACAAAGGGAAGAAGGGTGTTTAGTCACTAAAATCTAGGAAGCCCATTCTCTAGTTGACATCTTTAATTTAAAATTTTTCTTAAAATTAGTAAATTCTAGAAATTTGAAGTTTATATTTTCATATAGAACATTCTATATGTAAAAATGTAAAATTAGTTCTCTTTTCCGCCCCCCCCTCCCCCCTGCTGACCCCTGAACTCCCTCTTCTCTTTCTTTTTCTCTTTCCTTCTGGCATATCAAAGAGGTAAATTGTTTTTGTTTTGTTTTGTTTTGTTTTTTTGTACGTAAACTAGCCAGAAAACCAGCAGCTAGCTGGATTAGGTAGGCTATAGTTAGGATGGCCACAATGAAGGCTATGGACCCATTTTATTGAGCTGCCTGAAGATACAATCTCTCTTTCACTGCACTAAATTTAGTATTTAGTACTGAAGAGGTGATTGGAAAACAGAGAAGTTAAAAAATTGATATCCAAGGAAAGGAGAGTCATTATTTCATAAAATAAATTCTGGAATAAATATGATAATTTTCTAATTGGGTTATACAAAAGAAAATTCACGGGACAAAAAGAGATTCAGGAAGTATGTTGAGGGAATGTGCCTGGGCTGTGAAGGTGTTTTATACACAAGAAATGATGGGCATATTAATGTCATTTAGTTCAGCACACACACACAAAAAAAACCACAGGGGAGAATATAACAAAGTCTAGCATTTGAATCTTGATTTTGTTGCTCACTGTGTGTGACCTTTGATGCACTTTTAATCCCTCTTTGGGTCTCAGTTTTCTCATACATAAAGTAGGGACAAACCTGCCCTTCTCATAAGGTAGGAATGAAGATTAATCCAGTTAATGTTTACAAAATACTTAGGAGAGTGGCTGGTGTGTAGTAGATGCTGTAGAAGCATTTGCTAAATATCAGAATAAAAATGAAAGAGGAGAAAATTAAAGCTCAGAGAAGTGGTTGAGTTGTGCCCACTCAGTGAATTAATAAAAGATCTTCCATCCAACACAGATATTAAAATATCCTTATTTCAGAAGGTTGCATATTGCCTAAGAGCTGATTTTGGCCAAAATAAAAATATACTTATGTCTTTTATTATATTTCTAAAGAAGAAACAAACAGAACTTAAAAGAAATATTACAGTACAGTTGTCCTGATAAATGTTTAAGTTGTTGTCCTGCCCCTGCTGTATGTTATATGTTGTTTTTCACATTGTTATTCCCTTTGCAAGTTAACTTCTTATTCTCAGACAATAAGTCTGTCAACATAGGTCATTACTGAAGTGAGTTCACTACTACAGAAAAGGGGCCAATCCTCCTTGCCCCCGCCCCCTCACACACCATCATTGCACTGTGCACTGTCATTACAAAAGTATTGCAAATAAATGAAGGAAATTGGGAAATGTACAGAGCATACAAAGAAAAATAAACCTCAATCACAATTCCACTACTCTTGAGACAAGCACTGATTGTCCATGATATAATCGTGTATGGTGTGTGTAAATAAATTCTGAAGAGTGGACTTCAATTGCATATTCTGCTTTGCAGCCTACTTTTTAAAAATAAGTATATCAAGAGTGTCTTTCCAAGTCACTGTAATGGTTTTTAAAAACAGAGCCCTTTAATTGCTGTATATTATTTCAATATATAACCCCATTAGTGGGACATTTAAGCTTTTCCAGATTTTCACTATTATAGGTGTAATTGAATGACGTTAAAATTTGAATGTGGCAGAATACATTGAGAATAAACTGGGCTTGTTTTCTAGGCCATGGGTTCATTATAAAATAACAAGTCTTTCTTTCCTTCTCTCCCCAAGGACCCGCAGGGGACTCTGAGTCCTGGCCATCTGGACTTTCCTTGGTCCCAGGGGCAAGTCAACAGGCCCTTGTTTTCAAAAGTGTGTGCTCAGGGAGGTGAGTCGACTGGGAGTTCTAGGTAGGGAAGGGTTAGAGGCTGTGGACATCTAGAGTCATGAGGGAAAAGGACCAGTCTAGAAGTAGGAGGAAGGGTGGAGTATTCCCACTCTGAGAACGAGGTGGGGATTTCTCAGGAGGGAAGAAATCCTCGGGAGGTGGGGGTGGCAGGAAGCTGGTGGCGGCATCCTGGAGGTGGCAGAACTTGGAATAGGGGGGTGGGATGTCTTGGAACTACTCTATATTCCTGTGACCGAGTTTGGTCCGGAGGGCTTGCTATCGCCAACAGAGGTGCTAGGCTTTCCAATATGTATCAAGTATAGAGAGCAAAACTCCTAGGAACTACCTTTCCTAAATCTTGTACTATTTAAACCCAAGGATTCCCCAAAATTCCAAGGGATGAAAGAGGAAAACCAGGACTCAGAAAAATGATTGAGCTTCCCACCAACCCTAGCTGGTGGTAATAAGCCAGACTTAATTTGTTTGGAAAAATTCCATGGTGCCCATGTATCAGGTGGACTTCACTATTTGTGTATGTGTAACCTAGTATGCTTGAGCATCTGCTTAGGATAAATTCTTACAAATGAAATCACTAGGAAAGGAGTCCAAGTAGCTTAAGGCTTTTGTACATAGTGTGCCTTATTTATAAGTTTCTGTATTTTTCAAGTCGACTGATTCTTCTAGGTATCCCTCAGAAAAGATTGTTAGGGAAAAGGAAGAAAAGTAAAATTAGCCAAGCTAATTGATCATTAAGTATAATCCATCATTAAATCTAAATTTCCATTTATGATCTACCCCATCCCAGAAGACTTCAATTACTGGATTACTTTATTGATAAACTCAAGAGACAGTTAATCATTATGTAAGCAAATAACATAAATTTCCACATGATATATTGACATATACTTTATCATTTATGCAAATTGGCAAGAAATTGCTTAAAAGACTGGAAACAGGCACTAGAATAAATAGAAGTAAACCGAACCCAGCCCCTTAAAACCTGCTGAAAATATCTTAAGTGGCTGGCTATTCAGTCATCTTAGGGCAAAACCTAACTCGTTGGCAAACTCCCCAGTTGTATAACCTTGGGCAAATTACTTAACTTCTCTGAGCTTTGATTTCCTCTTCCATAGCAAGGGGTAATAATAGAACTGACTTCATGGGTCGTTGGCAGAATTAAAAGAGTTAATAAATGTGATATACTAGAAAAGTACCTGGCACCTCATGAGCACTGTAGCTATCACTATGAGCACCCAAGGCGTGCCTCCCTCCTGACCCTCCAGGGTCAGCGCCCGCGCTCCTGTCACCCTAAGCCCCAGCTATACTGAGATACTTGCAACACCCTAACCTTTTCTCGCTCTCATTTTTTTCAGGTTTTGTACCCTGGAAAGACCTTTACCCCCCCCCCCCCTTTCCTAGTGAATTCTATCATCCTTCCAGATTTAGCTCCTCTGTTATCTGTCTCCTTGCAAAACCCTCAGTCTGAGCTGGGCACGTTTCTGATGAGATTTAGCAGAGTATATTTTAATTGTCCATTTACATGCTGAACTCAGGGAACAGGCCAGATTTACTGTTGTAGCTCCAGACCTCAGCCCCGTGTGCCCATCACAAATATTCAATAATCATTTGCTGAATGACTGCATTTGTCATAGGAACATTGGGGTGGGAACAGGACTGTTTATATTTGTGTGTTTTCAAGCATTTCCACAAACATCTCATTTGATTTGTATGGAACAAACAAACAAGGCTAATTCTCACTTTTACGGAGGTGGAAACTGAGGCTAAGGGAAGTAAAAGCCTTGCCTAAGACATGATAGAAAGCCAGAACAGAAGCCCAGTTCCTCTCACCCGCTCCTGGCACCACTTTTTTCTTGTTTTCTTTTTTTGCATTACAGGGCTCTGTCTTTCTAGAGCAGTCTCTCGAAGACTCTGGGTGCCTTTGGCTAAGGGCTGATCTCTCCAAGTAGGAGTTATAAGAAAGTTAGAAACGACAGCATAAAACCTGGAGATAAATGAGCTGGTTGGAAATGTGGAGTAGGCTGAGGAGGGGAAGGAATAAAGGCCCGGTTTTGGACAGGTGCCTTGGGCAGATGAGCAAATGGCCTGGGGAGGCACCCTGCCTTCCGGCTGGAGCGGCGGATCAGAGGGTTCTTATGCCATTTACTAGGGCTTTAGGGCAACACCACTCATTCTGGCCTCTTTCCTACCTGTCTACCTCCCTGGGCCTCAGAGCATTTCAAAACCTGCCCCTGTAATTCTGGTCCATGGCACAAGGAGGTGATTCAGGGCTCACCAAGCACGCGGAAACTGGCTGCCCTCCACTTTCCTCCGACCCACTATACACTTTCCATTCAGAAAATGTGCTCGATGTCTCACCTGATATTTTTCTCTGCTAAGTCGTCATACTTGGGTTTTAGAAGACTGGGGAGGCAAGAAGGATCCACTCTTAACCATGTGTTTATGCTCAAGGTGAATGAACACTCTTCAGAATCTCATGCCTCAGATACCAGTAAGAAAGGGGCTGTGACAGCGCTTAATTTCATTGCACCTCCCTGGAATCTTTAATTAAATGAGTTTTGGAGAGTTGAGCTGAAGTGCTCTTTCGTGCTGCCTTTAATTTTCCGTCCCTTCTGCTTTGTGAGCTAGATAAAAGTCATCCTTGATACATTACTGTCCAATTTCAAACGGCTCTCAGATCATGTCTCATTTGTTTCTCACACCCGTATGCTTGGAGCACTCGGGATTTAAGCAACTTAAAGTCAGGCAGCCGGGGAGCCAGCAGATCGGAAACTCAGCTCCTGGCTGCAGACTCGGGTTCTTTCCTCACTCCTCTAGGGATATTCCTCCCAGGACCTACCTCACGCCCAGGCCCAGGCCAGCCTGGGGGACAATTAGTGGAAGCATGGGTTAGCATTTCTACAACATAAAGGCTTCTGAAGTCAAATTTTGAAGATAAATGGTTTAGGGAGGAAAGACTGAGTGAACTTTTATACTAAGTTAACAAAGGCAGAGTCCCCATTTGAATTCTCATCCCATCAGCATGAACTGTTTTGGCAGAGTAATTGTAAATGATCACGCATTGTAGTCTCAGAAAAGATTTCATGCCCTAGCCGGTTTGGCTCAGTGGCTAGAGCGCTGGCCCACAGTCTGAAGAATCCCTGGTTCCATTTTGGTCACGGGCATGTCCCTGGGTTGCAGGCTCCATCCCCATGTAGGAGGCAACCAATCAATGTGATGTGTCTCTCTCACATTGATGTTTCTCTCTCTCTGTTTTCCCCTCCCTTCCACTCTCTCTAAAAACAAAATTAATGGAAAAATATCCTGGGGTGAGGACTAAAACAACAACAACAAGATTCCATGCATTTACAATGACGGGCCGTTACAATAAGGCCAGCTGATATCAGGAAGGCAGGGAGATACCGGGTAAAAAGTGTGGACTATGGAATGAAAAAGACCTGGCTCTCAACCCAGCTTTGCCATGGGCGGTCTGTGTGACCTTGAGAAGTTGTTTATTTCTCTGGGCCTAAGTTTCTTAATTTTTGCAATGCAGATAATAACAACTACTTTGTAATGTTGAAGGGTTCACAATACCATATATCTCTAACACTTAGAATACCAGCTCGTAAGCAGGTGCTCAGTAGAAATCTGTTGAATGGATGAAATGAGTTTGAGATAACTTATGGCTTATCTCGCATAGAGCCTGGTGCATGGTGACCAGAGCTTTCAGCTATCAAAATTCTACAGAAGCACTAAGAAGCAGATATGTTTCCCTAAACTAATCTAGTAATGGAATAAAAATCAATGTGTGTGAAAGAAAGAGATTATTTGTTTGGTTATTGTGAAACCAGTTCTCACTGTGGTCATTTCGAAGACCAGAGGGGAAGAAAGTATCTTTTAGATCATCTTTAAACATGGTTAAGAAAAGGGAATTTACCTCAATCTTCCTCATGCTTTCTGGCTGACAGGTTTAGGCTAGCCCGGAACCTCTAGTGAGTTTGTGAAGGTCAGGCCATTGGTACATCAAAATTGCATCACATTTGCACATCTTGTGTAAGTTCACAATGGGCCATTGTCTTCTCGGCCCCAGGGCATGAAGGCTTGTCTGGAAAAGGTTAGTTGTTGCCATTAGGGAACCTTGTGCAGCCAAGACTACAGTGCAATGTGAAGCAGAAATAAACCCTGGGCTCTCCAAACGTTTGCCAAGCAATTCACAAATGTGTTTACTTAAGAGGTAAGCATAACACATAATCTTGTATAATATTATGTCTAGGAAAGTTCTGTGACTCTGCTGTAAAATGCCCACATCGTATTCGAGTAATTGCTTCACATTCACCTAATAGGGTCTTAGATCAATTTTCAGCTCTATCCAAATGCATTTTGGTAAACTAAACAAATCTTGATTTCCTGATCTTTTACTTATACCTCATTTATCCAGTTCTGTTTTCCTTTTTAATATCTTGTTATTTTTTATTGATTTCAGAGAGGAAGAGAGAGAGGAGAGATAGAAACAGGAATGATGAGAGAGAATCATTGATCAGCTGCCTCTCGCACGCCTCCTACCGGGGATTGAGCCTGTAAACAGGCATGCGCCCTGACCAGGGATCGAGCCATGACCAGGTTCGATCAACCTGTGGTTCATAGGCTGATGCGCAACCACGGAACCATCCTGGCCTGGCTTTCTTTTTTCTTGGCATACCTGAAACTAGTTTTGATTAAGAGAAACAGCATTAGCCTTAGAACCTCTACAAGCAAAAGGTGCCACTGGCGTTTCTCCAGTGAAGTGGATGGAGGGGGAGAAGGACCAACGAAAAAGGGGTAACCTTCTGTATTGATTTGTATTTCACAGTGTTTCAAGAGCTAGGAAATGTAAAGCTTTGAAATAGTGAATCCAATAATCATAGACCTAACAAAACCACCCGATCCAGGCTTCAGGCAACTGAGTGTCTAAATCTTCTAAGATACGTAATATTGAGTATTTCTCAACTTGAAGATCTTCAGGGAGAGAGGCATCACTGTCTGCCTCAGTAACCGACTGGAGGGTTAAAAAAATTTTTCTATCTCCAACTGAAACTTCTTTTATCTTCAAAATGGTAAATGGAAACTAATCAATCAATCTTCTCGTGGCAGACAAATAGATTGTTTGGCCCCGACCCCCATTCCTAATCACCTTTTCCCTTCTTGTCCCCACCATAGGAGCTGGGAAAGTTGACTCACTTTTCCAGCTTTCCTTGCAGAAAGAAGTGATGATGTGAAAATTCTAGCTGATGTGCCGTGGTTGGATATCTGCTGAGGGTGGCGATGGAGCAGGTTTCTGGATAAGCTTTTGTTTTTCTGAAAAAGATTGATAAATGTGTCTTGAGACACCACTTTTCCTTTCTTCCTGTCCTAAATGCAGACGTGATGCCTAGAGCTATAATAGCCACCTCGGAGCCATGAAGGAAAAGGCCAAGAGAATCACAGACATTGGTCCCACATTTGTGAGCTATTGAACCACTGCCAGCAACCACTAACCTCCAAACTCCTAATAAGAAAAATCCACTCCTATCCCTTTAAGTCACTGCCGTTGGGTTTTCTATTCTATTTACAATTGATCTCAGTGCTATCTGAAATGCATCATCTAAAAGACTTCGTGGCCGGAGAGTCATAAATCCATTCAATTTCTCCAGGCAGGCTCTGTTCTCTGACTGCACTTTCCTAAATTCCTCCCTTCCCCAATCAAATCCGGCTCATGGAGGCATTGGCTTCTTTGTTGCTTTTCTCTATTTATTCTGGAGTTAGCTCTCTCTCTGCCACCCCATCCCTAGATCTGCTTCATCTTTAAGGGCGCACACTTGTCTGTAGTCTCTCTTGTAGACCCAGCTCTACACGGTTCCCCAGTAAGACACATGTGTGTTTCTGTGCAGCCTAGATTTTCCTGTGCGGTCTCATTGTAGTTTCCTTTCCCATCACTCTGTAAAGACATTTACACTTGTTACGTCACATGTCCTGTTTTGGGGGACAGTAATAAAATTAATTCAGTGTCTCTTAGTTCTATATTAGTTTATAGAATAATGCCAGTGCCCCTTCCTGCTTTAGCTTCTCACAAAACAAATTTTCCAGCTATAATGCAGTTCACTGGCTTCTCCAGGTCCCTCTGCTAGAAATGCAAAGCAGTGGCAGAAGAAATGCATTGAATGGAATGAAGAAATTACATAAATAGCCATGGGTTACTTAAAAATGGTACATAGCATTAGTTCTTCCATCATTTCAGGTAACCATGGACTGTCTATAAATAAAAAGGAGTTTCTATAAAGCAGTTTTGATTCTAGAAGTTTCTTTATAATCACAGCTCCAATGCAAAAGTCTTTTTAAAAAAATCTTTTATTGATTTCAGAGAGGAAGGGAGAGAGAGAGAGAGGGAAACATCAATGATGAGAG